GCTGTTGAGTTAAAAGAAATATGACTGGTTTTATGTGTAATAAACGGCACACTGAAATCAATCAAACGGGTGTGTTTATTCAGAAAGGCATCTGTTTGCATCTGTTTGGCAAATTAATGATATTATTAAATTATGTTAAGTTTTATTGGCCTATAATGGCTCAGCAGTAATATTTCGATTTTAATAGTATCCATTTCAAACGTTTCATCCTTCTGCCATGTGAGTCGCCGTTTCTCATTTCTCCAGTTTATGTGTGTACGCATGGCTCAGAGTTTGCGCGGAGGACCGCACATTCTCCCGTCAAGTTTGTTTTTTATAGATCACAACCTTTACGTGGGAAGTGGGGTACCCACGTTTCCATCCCTGTTTTGTATGTACGCACCGTTTATAAATGAGGCCCCTGCACTTGTGTTTTGAACAACATGTAAAGAGAGTTGTTCAGCTATGTTTTTATCGTTTGATAATTATAGCCAAGTTTAAGTTTTTATTTCACCACAGATCTGGAGAAACTCATCCATACTTACATAAACCCTGCATTGAAAGATGCTATACAAATAAAGATATTATTTTAAATTAAATTAAATTATTTTAAGCAAGCACAGTTTGAGACACTAATATACCAAAGCATCAAAGCACAGCAGTCTGTTCTGCATAAAAACAAACCCCATAATTATACAATCCACATGGGAATGTCTGTTCCCAATACATTATACATTATACAGTGGGTTCTACTCTGCCTACACAGTACTGTGGAATAACTTAAGCAGTAAGTGTACCTTAAAGTGCTTGCACCCTAATATTGCCTTACCAATTGTTTTGTGTTTAACATTCTGTTTCTAGAGCATTCTATTGGATTCAGTGACAGAAAATTCATTCCGCTATAAAGTAACAAGAGAGGTTAGAGAAAATAGAAGATAAGTCTATATCTCAGGACAGGAAACAACCAAATGTCTCAGGATCATGAGGTTCATTTGTCATCTATTGATTAGTGGACAATGGATGTACAGTTTGTGGCGACAATAAACTGCAGCCGTCTCATGTGCTAATGGACAATTAGTACTGAATAATCTCCCCATTACATAAATAAGTAAGATTTCTCAGTGAGTCTTGGCTTTATTTGTGCAGCAGATCCCATGTGTAGTCATGGTTTCAGTAACTCGCTGAATAACTCTAATAAGCCAACGTGCAGTAGCTCTGTTCCCTGGCTGCAAGCTTGGAGACTTGATTTCACCAGCTTTTATTTTTCTATTTTCTCACTCAATCAATATATCCTGGATAGTGTGTGTACAAAATCAATTACCGTTATTTCACTCAAACCTTTAGCTCTTACTATAATAACAATGAGCACATGTGATTAAGGCCAAAAATCTCTATTTCTGTCAAATTTGCTTGCCCACTCCATACATCAAAATCTGAAAAGCAGTCCTGTTTGAAAGCTTTAAAACGTGTTTTCTCAGTTGTAAATAATCTGTCTCTTTCAACAGCAAGGAAATCTGTAACAGCGGAGCGGGTTATCTGATGTGTCCTCTCTGTAATACATGCAAGGCCTGGAACATGTCTGAAATCTGCACCATGGCCAAGGTAATGAACATTTCACTGGTAAACAACCCAGTGTATTATCATATTGCAAATATACTTAACGTTGATATTTGTTTCAAAAGGTATATACTGTATCTTTTTGCATTGCAGTTGGGCTACTTATTTGACCACCCAGGTACCGTCCTCTTCAGTGTTTTCATGTCTTTCTGGGCTGTAACCTTCCTGGAGTACTGGAAGCGAAAGATGGCCACCCTGGCCCATCACTGGGACTGCATGGACTTCCACGAAGAAGAGGTCTCACAATCAAAAAAATTGTTTGCTTGCTTTAAGTAGAATATGACCATACTTTTCTTCTATATTTTATGGTTCATCGGTATATCATAATTAAGAGGCTAGCAATCCCAAAAAAGTCCAACTGTAGACCTCGTGCTTGGAGACCCCAGGTCTGCAAGCCCATGGGAAGAGAGTGAGGTCCCCCAGATGTGAGGTGTATCCCCAGAGATCAGGTGTGTGACTTTAATGGACACAAGGGCCATTCCCAACAGCTAGTTAAGTATTATTTCTTGCAGTTTTTTGTGTTAAAGACACACTAAATTAGCTAAATCAACACAAGGATAACATGGTTGACTGTACCCACCCCAGCAACAGCCTGCTGCTGTCTGGCAAGAAGTCTTACCACCAGACTACAGAGCAGCTTCCTCCCCCAGGCTGTGAGACTCCTAAAATTGTCATCAGGACCATGCAAAATAGTTTATTTCTAGAAATAATTTATAATATTTGTACCTAAAATTTTCTAGTTGAGCATAAAGGGAACTACAAACTTCATCTCATTATACAGTCCTGTTGTAAAATAACAAAGTTACCTTGTAAAGAGCAGGCGATGTTAGACTGTTGGGCAAGGTAGTATTAGTCCAGGCCAGGATATAAATAATAAAATACAACATACATCATAAAACCTCTTTTGTGTAGTTAAAATTTGAGTCTAGCGTTCCTTAACACTTAATGCTGAAAGAAATTGCAATACGGTAACAGTATTGCAATTGTTAAACACAACATCACAATTTAATCTTTAACAGCACCAAGCCAGCTAATGTTTAATGTTAGAATTAAGTTGGTTCCTAGTTCCGCATGCCCCCTGCCCCCGACCCCCCCCGAATTTACCATATTTTACACAGAAGTTACTAAACTATTACGTTATGATCCTGAGCAACCCCTTATTCCTCTGATATGCAACACACCTCTGGTGAACACATTTTCTACCCATTGGTCCGCAGCTGGACCGTTCACAGCTATGTCATCAATGTATTCCCTCAGGAGCGTCCTCGTCCAGAGTTTGCCGCCATGGCCCCGACAATGGAGGAAAACCCGGTGACTGGCGTCAAAGAGCCCTATTTTCCAGAGAAGACCAGGTTGTCCCGCATGTTCACTGGCTCCATGGTCATCATTATGATGGTGAGACACTATGTAAAAGTGTTTAGAGACAGATTTTGAATTTCAGGAGTGTGCATTTAGCATTACTGTAAATAAAGTATTTGGGGTAATAGAACAATATTTCCTTGTGTTCATTTTTGGACCTTTATACCTTTTTTATCGCAGGGATAGAACGATATATTTGTTTGCTGGTATCAGCCGTTATTTAGCTAGTTAATG